TGAGAAATATTATCCCCTGCGATCGGACCGCAAACGCTTGATTTTCTTCTCAAGTTGATTTTCTACCTCAGCTTTATAGACTTTAAAATAATGCAACGCTTCATCTTTAGTTTTTAATAAATACACGTAGCAAAATCTAGTACAATCATCTATAAATATCATGAAGTATCGTTTACCGCCTTTAGTCAAATCGCCATTCATTTCGCATAAATCAGAATGAACGAGTTCTAATGGTGCCAAGTTCTCATCAATTTTTGCTTGTTGCTTGATTGCACACACACGCACTTAGAATCTTTGACTAAGTTAAATTTCAGGATTAAATTCAGATTTGCAAGCTGCAAAAATTAATGTGACAAAGTCATGAATGCCATATATTCGACTCATACATTAACATTGTTCACTTCTTTATTACACACAATCAAGCAAAGATAAGCGGAACAAGCCTCCACAATCATAACCTTTTCCAACAAATGTTCCATGTCTCGGACACAACACACTTATTGAACTCAAGCACAATTTTAAAGCCATCGCGGCACATTTGAGAACCGCTAACAAGATTCTTCTTAATGGAGGAGACATGCTGCACGTTCTTTAATAGCACCGTCTTTCCCGAAGTAAACTTCAGAACGACCATACCAGCACCAAGAACACGCTCATGCGAACCGTTTCCCATTAGCAAGGCTCTAGTCCTGTACCATAGGAAGTAAACAAAGAAACATCACACATGAATATTAGCACACCATCCACCACTCGGTGAAAGACAAACCGAAAGAACAAAAGGTAAAGAATTACCATACCGGATGTTCCTCCTCCAGTCCTCGCTAATCACCATTGATTTCTTTTCTTGCTTATATTTACGGTGCAGGCACGCACTTGCCCAATGCTCATCACTCCCGCAAAACAAAGCAACCTCCACCTTTCTTGTTGTTAATCTTCTTAAACCGAAAGCGGTTTGCTTAGGCTTTGTATTGTTGTTCTCTTGCATGTTCTTCTTCTTTTTATTACGGGATGCAAATGAGTTTTTTCTTCTGCACCATATTGGCAGCGGAAGACTCAACTCCTTTTCCATGGTAGTCATTTGCTCTCACCCTCTCCTCAACATCAAGAGATCCAATAAGCTCATACACGCTAAACTCTTGTCTCTTGTGTTTTAGAAAGTAGTAAAATCCTCCAAGAAGGTGGCATTAGCGATTATACCACCGACCACAAACTTGTCGGGCAACAAACATGAAAAATGTTCTAGTTCCTTTGCTAGGTGGTAAGCTTTTTCCACTACCGGTTTTCAACTATTTTGTAGTCATACAACCTGCTCCATAAGGTACAGTCACTACCAACATTCTCCAAACTTTGCCTCAAGAGCATCCCATAACTCTTTGCCCGTGCAAGATATGTAGTTTTTCTCATACTTACTATGAAGTGCACTAATCACGGTGCCTCAAATAAAGTTATCGCCACCAAGAACTTTTGCTCCTCCTCGGGAGTAAATTGTTCAAACTTCCCCCATCTTGGCGTGATAGCGAGTTCATAGCGATCAACCACAATACCATCTTGGCACGCCATATCATAAAGTTCTTGCCATCAAAATTATTTGGCTTCAAAAAAAAAGATGCAAAAAATTACCTAACGTTAGGTTTTTGGATTGTTAGATAATTAGATTTTCATGGTCAATTGAATCCGGCCTCTTTTATGATTTACATATATGTGCATGTGTATATCACTAACAAAAAACATGCAAGTCTCGATCTCACAAAGTTAATCACAGAGTTAAGATTGTACCCAGGCGGAGGGTTCCATGCCAGGGCATCCTCCATTCGCACTAATTATAGTGCGTTGCTCAAGTCGTGGACCACAAATCATTTATCAGGTGTTCGCAGGTCCCTGGTCACCGGAAGAAGAAGACTCGATCACCGAAGATCGTGACCCCAGTGGAATCAAAACTAATCGCCCGACACCCCCTGCAAAGGTTCGCAGCGGACGATTATATCTCCCGCAAAGAATCAAGGAAAGGACGGCCGAGATGTGGTCTCTTAGAATCTAAGTAGGAGGGTTGGACCGATATAGATTTATGCCAAACACACCACGGCTCACGGCCTCGCCCAATATAGCACCTAAATGGCACTCCTTTGTCCTTTTCTCGGCTTCTCAATTAAGATGGATAATTTCGAACCAAATAAGCTAAGTAAACGTTCAGTCAAAATTTCATACGGTATTAAACCATACAACGCTTAATGTTACGTATCATAGAGTTTTATTTGATTTATTAAATATTATAGGGGCCAAGCCCATAATATATCCAACATATTGGAATCTTGATTGTCAATGTGATTATAATAATCTGATGGATTTTGTTGGATCACGAGATTATATATAGGTGTTGGATTACTGTACTTTCACCTATTGTTGACGCTTGAATTGATTCTCGGTCGTCATGAAGTCTTTCATATGCCTGATCTATCACTTTTGACTGTCAACACATATAATCTCCTAATAGTAATTTTTATATGGATTATAGGATTATAATAATCTGTTGGTTAAATTATCATAATCTAACCATAATTTGATGTGTTTGGATAATCTTGAGATTATTTTATCATATTATTATAATTGAAGAGATGATCCAAACAGATCTAAACATCATCATAAAATCAGTAGATAAAATTGTCTCTCGAGCACCACGTTAATAATCTTAATATAGACCCAATTGTCACATGCATGAGAGAATATGACCTTAAAAGCAAATTTTACTTAGCTCATATCACTAGGCTAATGGTCAAAAACTCGGTAGCCACAAGAAAAGATCATTTGCACTACGATGTACGGATTGTTTAGCATACCTGGTGCCAGTCAGTTTAGTGTTGTTAACTCTAATCTAATATAGCTGTGAAAAAGGAAAATGGACAAATACTGCCCCACCAGATGATAGGCCCAACACAAGGGATGGGCTTCATGGCTAGACCGCTAGACCATGAAGATTCCAAATCTCATTGCACTGGAACAACGGTACACGAAGATTGTCCTCGATTACCACCCCAGGCAGGCTGCAGCGTCTTTTCTCTTCCTCGCAAAATTCCCTTTGGAATGCGGTAAAGAGAGGGTAAAGCCAAATGGCAAAAAGTAGTAAAAGGGAGGAGCCCGAGATCAAAAATAAAAAAAATGAAAGCTCTGGCCAGCACGGGTGTGTTTGGCTTTCCTGTCAACTTCTAGTTTGGTTAGAATCCTAACTTGAGCAGCTTTGATCTACTATCATCAAGCCAACCTCTGGTTGTTCGTACTGTGTTAACCTGGTTAGCCCTAGGTTGTGTTTGGTTGTCTGGTTTATTTTGATACACTCACCTCTTCTCTGAATCGGTAAGGTTACTCCTTTGGGTGTGTTTGGCTTTCCGGTCAACTTCTATCCTGGTTAGAATCCTAACTTGAGCAACTTTGGCCTGCTCCCATCAACCAACCTCTGCTTGTTTGTACTGTGTTAACCTGGCTAGCCCCAGGTTGTGTTTGGTTGCCTGGTTTTGTTGGGGACCAATACTAGGGTACCCGAAGAGGAGGAGCTAATGACCATCAACATTGATTCATCCGAGTAGTCAAGAGCGCGACTACGGCTCAAACCGATCCCAGGCGCACAAGCTCATCCTCGCCCGACCCCGAGGCCACGGGCTCCGCCTCGTCTGACCCTTGGGTTTGCGCTCCGCCTCGTCCGACCCCAAGGCCGCGGGCTCCGCCTCATCCGACCGTTGGGTTTGCGCTCCGCCTCGCCTGGCCCCTGGGGGAGGGCTCCGACTCGCCCAACCCCGAGGCCACGGGCTCCGCCTCGCCCGGCCCTTGGGTTCGTGCTCCGCCTCGCCCGACCCCAAGGCCACGGGCTCCGCCTCGTCCGCCCTCTGGGGGCAGGCTCTGCCTCGCCCGACCCCAAGGCCTTTTTTTTGCGCTTAAGCCCCCTCGCCCCATCCAATCAACATCTAGTGGTCCTAATTGATAGTTTCCAAGTTTGCACAGGTTGGTTTGTTTGCACCTGATATGTTGCCTATTTTTAAAGTGTACTCAATTTTGCTAGAACATTTTTATAAAGGTCCATGTAGACATTTCTACAAGTAACATTTATATCTCCAAATCATTTTAGAAGAGGGAGTGCGTTGATTTTTTATTTCTTTAATTTAAGGTCAAATTCTGTGAGAGAGACCGAGAATCCGAGATCAGGATGCATCCATGCATCACTGCATCAGGTAAGACGTCTGTCAGCTGCTTCCGTTGGAAGTTGGAACGACGAGCGTGCATGAGCGATGGCAGGAATCCAAAATCTGCTCCTGTGGCTGGATGGACTGCGTGCATACACTTTGGGCCTTTGGGGTGGTGGTGCAAATGCTGCTCCTGTGGCTGTGACCTGTGGGGAGAGGTCTAGCAGGGACGGGCTGCCGAGCCTAGACATGCCGGCCCATCGAACTCACACAGTGCACAGCCCATTAGGCAGAACTGCCATTTCTTCCTTTTTTTTTTATGTTATCCCGTGCATTGCAATGAGACTTTGTTAGAGGTTGTTCCACCGTTGCATGTACTATGAGATAGGCCATCAAACTCGGACAAGCTAATTTAAGAATATAAGAAAAAGCTAATAAAATGTTAGATTGATTTATAAGAGAATGTGAAAAAAGTAATTGTACATACTTGAGAATGAGGTGTCAAAAAAGTAATTGTACATGCCCGAGAAAGAGGTGTCACTTAGTATGATATTAGATAGCACTTAATTGCATTGGGGATGACATGTGGATAACTTTCATTATAGATTGAAAAATCTTGTGACTTGCGTGCCCAAACCTCGGATAAATCTTATGTCCCTGTGTGCTTGTGACTTGTGTTTGCATTATTCGTTGTGGAGACTCGACCTAAATTGTGTGTAGGTGTTGGAGCAAGAAAAAAAGGTGAAATCAATTTAGTATATGAGCAATTTCATTTCATAATCTAGTTAGTTCACTACCCTCGGCGGTTTAGAAATTCGGCAACATTTTTGATCATGCACAGACCAAATTAATCTTTATACGGTGTCCATGCATAGGTAGCTTGTTTAGCGAGGTAGTACTTTCACACGTAGATTCGGGAACGACAAACGGTGCGGCGCAGAGCAGGAGCGGCGACTTGCGACGGAGTCCGAGGCCATGCGCCTCCGACATGTCCAGCTCGTTCACACCATCTGGCAGCGACCAGTTGAAGTGATAGAGAAGCTGCAGGAGTACCATCTCTATGACGGGAAGCCCGTAGGCGATTCCGGGACACATCCTCCGTCCAGCACCGAACGGCAGGTACTCGTAGCTGCTCCCATGGAAATCCACCATGCTATCCTCGAAGCGCTCAGGCTTGAACTCATCGGCGTCATCCCAGCACTTTGGGCCCCCTCCAATCTCCCAGACATTCACAACGACACGGGACCTGGCTGGTATCGTGTAGCCCTCGACCTCGCACGCTTCGATGCTCTCTCTGGGCACCAGAAGCGGAGCCGGCGGATGCAGCCGGAGGGTCTCCTTGATGACGAGCTTCAGGTAGGGGAGGCTGCTTTCCTGGAGGTCGGCTTCGGTGACCGTCGCCTTGCCATGGAACGCCTGCTGGATCTCGCCCTGCAGCTTGCTCATGACCCTCTTGTTCCGCATCAGCTCTGACATGCCCCAGCAGAGCGCTGATACTAGTGTCCCCGTTCCAGACGCGAACATGTCGAATATGGCGGCCTTGATGCTGTTTCGAGTTTAGATGGAACCCCAGGCCGCCTCTCTCTTGCAGCCCGAGGAGAACGTCAACCAGGTTCTCGTCCTCCTCGCCCTGCCGCCGCTTGCTGCCCCAGATGCCTCTCCTCTCCTTTATGATCTTCTCCAGGGTGGTGTCCACCGTCCTGTGGATCTGCTCGAGGGCACGGCGCATGCCGGTCACCGCGGCGAGCACGGGTCTCCAGGTCGGGGACCGTGAACCCGCTCGCCATGACGACGCCAGCACTGACTGCCGACAGGAACTTGTCGGCTTGCCTCTGCACGTGCCGAATGATGCACGGACGACGATGCTGTTGGCCAAGTTGTGGAACACCGCCGTGGATGGCCCGGCAGCTCGTATCCTTGCCACCTCAGTCGCCATCTATATAAATAAATGAAACGTTTAATCTTTGTTCAATGCTAGGACTAGGAGTAGCTCAAGAATAAGATCTCGCCCGCACCATGTACCTCTTGTTCCCTTATGTGGCCGAAGGTGAGCACACGCTTGGGGCCGAGGATCTCGGCGGCACAAAGCTGCCGGAGCTTGCGCCAGTATTCACCGGTCGGTGAGAAGACTATGTCCGACTAGCCGTAGAGCAAGATGTCGCCAGTCGCCACCCAGGACCAGGAGCCTGGGGCGGGTGGCGAAGTTGGCGTCGTGCGTCTTGAGCACCTTGCGGGCCATCTCCTTGGACGACACCACCACCAGTGGGATCTCGCCTAGCTGTAGCATCATGAGCGGGCCTTGGACGCGGGTGAGGTCCCGTAGCGCGCGGTGCGGGAGCGCGTTGACGAGGTGGTGCATGCTGCCGATGACCCGCAGCTTCCACGGCCCCGCCGGGAGCCTCACCTTAGGCGGCCTCGTCAGGAAGAGCTTGATCAGGACCCGGATCAGCGCTATGGTGACTACGCAGACGAGCAGGGATTGGTAGAGAAGGTTGTGGCGGTCCATGGTCTAATTACGACGCGTGATCGTAACTCGGTCTAGGGTTCGTGGAGCTGCCAGCTGGTTACTTAACTCTATGTATATAACTACAGAGTTCTTAACGCCCGGACGTGCGGCGCGCAAGATGCGTCTGCACGCTGCTCCCGTTCTTAAACCCGCCCGCCCGCAAACGCTAATAGAATCGGATTGAATAGAATTTTGTCCACCACCCCCCTGTCCTCCATTCCCAACCGCGCCCCTGTCCTCGTTCCCCACAGCGTCCCGTTCCCCACCGCGCCCCTGTCCTAAGAGCACGAAACACTTCAAAAAGTGCAACATCGCAAAAAATATGTAAACTATGTAGTGCAACAACGAAAATTATATACTGCAACATTCGAAAATTATGTACTGCAACATCTCAAGTAGTAGTACTGCAACATCGCAAAATCAACCATGAAACATGGAAATGGAAACAACTCAATAATCACCTTTTTGAGTGCCGCAACATTTGAAAATGGTAATTTGAACAATTAAATTCCCCTACTACAACAATTCCAACATTAGAACTTCTTTTCTACGACACATGAATCACCCTATTGCAACATTCGAAAATCACATCTGTTGCAACATCCTAAAAATCCCGTTGCAACACGGAGAAATAGCAAAAGGCGTACAAAACAGCAAAGGGGATGGGTTCGAGGTTGTCGGTGTTTTCGGACCACCGACAAGTAAATTTGTATTTCTACGTCTGGCTCGGATGGTGTGCTTGGATGACACAAGGGTTTATACTGGTTCGAGAGGAACGTCCCTACGTCCAGTTCGCTGCTGCTCGTGTTACCGGCACTTGGTTTGTAGTTGGGGTTACAAACATGCGAGAGAGGGAAAGGATTCCAAGTCACTGGTGGAAGGAGTGAACGGGTGCTAAGAGCTCGCTTGCCGCTCAGCCGTGTGCTCGTGTCGTGCTCTTGTGTTTTTATCCCCCTTGGTAGGGGCGCTTTGCTTCCTCTTTTATAGGCCAAGGGAATGCGCGGGTTACAGAGGAGCAAAAGTAGAAGAACGAGAGAGAAGAAGGCTTCCAGGGTCGCCAGGTCCTTCTTCTCCTTCATGCGGGTCCCGCTGATCCTGTAGATGTCAACAGGGACGGCTCCATGTCATGGCCCTGTTGAAAGGTCCTAATGGCTAGAGGGGGGTGAATAGCCTAATAAAAATTTCTACAACAACACTTAACCAAAAGGTTAGACAATTATGAAGCGAAGCGAGTGTTGCGCTAGCCTACTCAATAATGCAAGCCACCTACCACAATTCTAGTTTAGATAGTGTCAATTCACACAAGAGCAATGAAACTACCCTATGTTAGTGTGCTCTCAAAGGCTAACTAAAGAGCCACACCAACCAAGCATGCAAGCTCTCACAACTAGCTACACTAAAGAGCTTGTCAACTAGTTTGCGGTAAAGTAAAAGTGAGCAAGAGAGTTATACCGCCGTGTAGTGGTAGGAACCAATCGATCATAATGATGAATACCAATGTAGACCAATCACCTCGGAATCAAATGATGAACACAATGATTTTTACCGAGGTTCACTTGCTTGCCGGCAAGCTAGTCCTCGTTGTGGCGATTCACTCACTTGGAGGTTCACGCGCTGATTGGCATCACTCGCCAAGCCCTCAATAGGGTGCCGCACAACCAACACAAGATGAGGATCACACAAGCCACAAGCAATTTACTAGAGTACCTTTTGGCGCTCCGCCGGGGAAAGGTCAAGAACCCCTCACAATCACCACGATCGGAGTCGGAGACAATCACCTCCTCCACTCAACGATCCTTGCTGCTCCAAGCCGTCTAGGTGGCGGCAACCACCAAGAGTAACAAGAGAAATCCGCAGCGAAACACAATCACCAAGTGCCTCTAGATGCAATCACTCAAGCAATGCACTTGGATCACTCCCAATCTCACTATGATGATGAATCAATGATCTAGATGAGTGGGAGGGCTTTGGCTAGGCTCACAAGGTTGCTATGTCAATGAAAATGTGCAAGAGAGCTCCCTTGAGCCGGCCATGGGGCTATAAATAGAGCCCCAATGAAATAGAGCCGTTGTACCCCTTCACTGGGCACAACGCGGGGTGACCGGACGCTCCGGTCCGATTGACCGGACGCTGGCCCTCAGCGTCCGGTCACGTGATTCACGCCACGTGTCCCCTACTTCAAATGCTGTTCGTCAGATTTCAACGGTCGCGAAGCTGACCGGACGCTGAAGCCCCAGCGTCCGGTCGTTTCCAGTAAGCTCCCCGAGGCATGTTTTTTCGACCGGACACGTCCGGTCCACCTTGACCGGACGCAGACCAGCGCCCGGTGCTCAACCCTATCCACTGTGCCGTCTGACAGCTCGACCGGACGCAGCCTTTCAGCGTCCGGTCGCTGAGTGACCCAGCGTCCGGTCAGTAGACCGACGCCAGCATCATTTCGATCAACTCCATTTCAACTCTAACTTCTTCACCCTTGCTCAAGTGTGCCAACCACCAAGAATTTTGCATCCGGCGCAATAGAAAATAGACATTTCATTTTTCCAAAAGCGCCGAATCCCGCCTCGCAAGCTCGGCGGGAGGGAGAGAGGGACCCAAACCCATCTCAACCCTACAAACACCTTGTGCACATGTGTTAGCATATTTTCACAAATATTATCAAGGGTGTTAGCACTCCACTAGATCCTAAATGCATATGCAATGAGTTAGAGCATCTAGTGGCACTTTGATAACCGCATTCCGATACGAGTTTCACCCCTCTTAATAGTACGGCTATCAAATCTAAATGTGATCACACTCTCTAAGTGTCTTGATCACCAAAACAAAATAGCTCATATGGTTTATACCTTTGCCTTGAGCTTTTTGTTTTTCTCTTTCTTCTCTTCAAGTGTAAGCCCTTGATCATCTCCATGCTATCACCATTGTCATGTTATGATCTTCATTTGCTTCTCTACTTGAAGTGTGCTACCTATCTCATAATCACTTGATGAACTAGGTTAGCACTTAGGGTTTCATCAATTCACCAAAACCAAACTAGAGCTTTCACCTGTTCATCACTGGCACCATGCGCAGGCGTTATCTGCCGATCATGGCGTTCCACTCCGTCCCGGCGAACGTCGTGGCGAATTGACGCGCCTGTCAGCGTCCGTACGGAGATTAGGCAGAACAAAACCGACACGCCCGACACTGTTCTTGATGTGAATCGCCAGGTATGGCCCGTCATGGCTATAGGTTACATCGAGGTGTGGTAGCCTCTTCCCTGGTGTCAGAGTTTTGACCCAGGCCCATACGCTTGGACCTAGAGTGGTTGGCGGCGGTATGGGTCCCCGTTGGACGAGACGGAACCCATGTCCTCGAGGTCGGGCGAGACGGAAACCACGTCCTTGGGATTGGGCGAGACAGAGCCTGCGGCCTCGAGGTCGGGTAAAACGGAGCCCGCATCCTTGGGGTCAGGTAAGACAGAGCCCGCACCCAAGGTGTCGGGCGAGACGGAGCCCGCGGCCTTGGGCGAGACAAAGAAAAAGGTCATCCACATGTAAATATGAACTTAGGAGCCAAGAGGTTAATATAACATAACATGCATAAGGAACAGATAAAAATACTCATATGAAACATTGGTGCAACCCACAATATTTTTGCTCAAACGCGCTTATATTGCAGCAGAAGGAACAGATAAAAAGTAAGATGCTTGATACAATGGCGTAGGTAAGAGATTCAGACAAAAGAAATTCAAAACTGTCATTTTCTGTTAGTAGATGCAGGTGCATTAGCCTTGTCGAGTTGCGGTAATCAAAGGATAATGAAAATTTATATCTTTGTCAACCAAACTATATAGCTCAGAAATCAGGACTGTATTATATTTTTTCTATTCTGGTAATTTTTCTGTGACCATGATATTGTTGTTAGCATGCTGTGAGCCTGAATATTCTTTCTGAACCTGAATAATGTAGCTTCTATATATTTTTATAAAAATTGATTATCGTTGTGCAAGCTATGACTTCTCTGAAAATGTCACTGTGCAAGCTATGACTTCACTGTGCAAACTGAATGTCAGTGTGATCTTGTTTGCTTCCCTGCATCTCAGACTTATTATTTTTTACCATTAGTCTATAGTAATTCAGTCTTATGTATCCTTCTTTTTAGATAATGTCAGATGCTGCAACATACACTCTCCTTCTTTTTTTGTCTTGCTTTTTCTGATTAACCATCCAATCCAAGGCCAAGTACCCTGTCGTGTTGGGCATTTGGGCTGAGAATATTGTGATACAACATTGTTCTGTAGAAAGGACGGTAGTGCCAAACAAGAGTCCCTAAAGATTTTAGAAGAGGCAGTAAACCTTTGCTAGAAGATCAGCTGCTAACCTATTTTTATTTCTAACTTACCACCTGTATCTCCAGAAACGAAAACCGGAAATGACAATTCTTTCAACTATCTGTACTAAAAACAGTATAGAGGACTGCAAGTATCTCTCTCTACTCAAAAAAAGATTTGTGTCATGTGCACCAACAAAGATAATTTCTTCTTTAATTGTACACAGGCTGTAGAAATTTAATTGGATTCTTTAAGTTTTTTGCAACAAAATCCCCACAGATTTGAACTCATCCAAAGATAAAATTGCCATTGTTGGTTACAGGCACATTTGCCTACTGATAAACAACTGTGCTTAGAAAAAGGCATATTTGCTGACATAATTCAGATGCCTAAATCTCATTCAAAAAGCATCTAAATTTGTGTTTCTCCTATAGCTGTGTGATCCACACCTAAGAGCCTCATGATGTGATCTTACATCCAAATTATATGGGGGGAATTTCTTGTGTGCCATTAAAAAAGATCGCAATGCCCTGTGTGCTCCTGAAAAAGTTCAGCGGTCTTCAACGTCACTGCTCCAACTTTTTTGTGCTCTCAATGCCATTGCCGTCAGTTTGGGCTCTAACGCCCATCAAACTGCAGGTGTGAAAAGTCAAAAATACCTTTAAGTCTAAATATGTCATTAATTTTTTTTCATCTTAACGACTTCAAATGAAAAAACTTAAACTAGAAAGTTGTAGATCTCATCGAGATCGATAATTTTTATCTTTATTTAATTCCGCAAAAAAAATATGATTTAATATGATTAATATATCTTAGAAAAATCATATCTTTTTTTTTGACATACCATCAATATGTCTGACCAACACCAGCAAGCTCCATCCCTACACCCTGGCACGCGCAAACATCAGCCTGTTCGTTTGGCTGTGGCTTGTCGTAAACGATCGTAAATTTTCAGCCGGAACAGTATTTTTCTCTCACACAAACCAGTCAGCAGTACTTTTTCACGAACCAGCCACGAAACGAACCAGTCAAACGAACAGGCTGTCGTTAAGCTCTATTTACAATTCCTACCTACCACCTCCCTCCCGTCCATTCGCCTCTATGCCCCATCCTCGAGACCGCATAGAGTCAGACCCGCTGCCGAGCCGCGTGCCCGCGCCCGGACGTGCGTACGCCACTCGCCCGCCCAGCGCATCCACCGCGGCTCGCTCAAGGGAAGGGGAAGCGCAAGGCAACGGCGGTAAGATACGTAGGAATAGTTTGGCTTTCGGCTTGGCGGGGGCGATAGAAAAGGGGTCCGTCCAGGTGCGTCGTCCCACGGGACGGACATGGCCACAGGCCGCCACACTGGCCAGTGAGCACGACCCAGCGGACCGGACGAATCTGCTCCGTCGTCTGAGATTTTCCGCTCCTGCCGTACTGACGACCAACACGGCTGCACCAATCAAAAGGGCACTTCCTCTTTTGTCTCTCTAATATCGAATCATTACGCACTAAACCCTTGTGCTAGAACAAGACAGGGCGCGAAAGGCCAAAGACTTTAGACTTGCAGGCTGCTGTTCTCTGCAGGATACCTTTTTGACTATTGATGCTCAGCTCGAGGGCATGTGTGCAAAGACTTTTCCGGTCTACGATGCCCCCTGCTTTTATTCTCTCCTGACCTGATTATTAGCGCCTAATCTTGTCTGCAACTCTGGATCTATCATGATTTCCACCACCCATGACGATTTTCAGTTTTACTACTAGTAGCAGTGAAAAAGCTCGCGGAGCTAGACTGAACATATTTAGGGAGTGGCAGTAGCACGTACTACTCGACTCTCCATCTTGGCACGTTAATAATAATACTCACATTTCCTTGTTTGGATACAACTCTAGTACTTGTACTACTAGCAGCGACATCATCACTCACTAAACACTGCACTACTAGTGATTAACAAACACCCAGCAACATAACACCTTGCAGACCCACACCCACATTACATAGCACGTACTCGACACTCCTCATCTACCTCCTCAGAAACAACGACTGGCCTAATTAATAATTGACACAGGCATCATGCGTGTCATCACTGCCCCCGGCCTGACACGACCAGAAAATACTAGTACTACGTGCGACCCATCGCTCACTAAACACTGCACGCCTACACGATCGGACGTCGTCTAGTCGGACGAGAGGCGAGCAGGAGCAGCATCTGGCGCCCAGTGCGGCGGCGACGGGGAAAAGTGGCGCGACACGACGCGGGAGTCGAGCAGCTCCACGATGGGCGGGAAGGACACGCAGCGGGGCACCTTGTACTGGTTGATGGACGCGCCGCGGGAGATGGCGTAGTCCATGAGCTCCTCGAACGTGCCCGACCGCACCACCCGGATCTCCAGCGGGCCGATGGAGCCGTCCGCCACGCGGCTCTGCCGGTACACCGAGTTGAGCGCCTCCTCCATCTCCAGGCAGCAGCGCTCCAGCACGTCGCCGCCCGCGGCGGCCTCCGCGCCATTGCTGGTGGCCAGCAGCTCCCAGTACATGACGTAGTGGCCCGGGATGCTCCGGGTGCACGCGTGGCTCGTGTACTCGGCCACCGCCGCGCCGCGCTCCCGGAGCAGCGCCGACGCGCGGTCCACGGCGCGCTGCAGCTCCGCCTCGTCGGTCTTGTCGGACTCGATGGAGAGCAGCACGTTCTTGCGGCGCACGAACCGGAACTGCGGCGCCGCGTTGTGGAACCCGGCCACCCGGAGGATGTCCCCGACGCGGTACCGGTACAGCCCCGCGTACGTGGTGATCACCAGCTCGTACTCGCGCCCTTGCTCCACGCGGGCCAGGTCCACCAGCTGCGCCACCGCCGCGTCGCCGCCGCCGCCGGCACGCCGCTCGCCTCGTCCACGGGGAGGAACTCGAAGTAGCCCATGTTGGGCATGATGGTGTAGCACACCTCCGACGGGTGGCACATGGGCCGGAGGTTGAGCCCGAAGTAGCACTCGGAGGAGGCGTACATGGTGCACGCCATCGGGAGGCCGCCGCTGTAGTGCTCCAGGGTGGGGATGTACTGCTGCATCGCGCCGGTCACGATCACGTCCAGGTACCGGGTGTTGGGCCACACCCGGGTGACGATGCCCGCCCAGTCGCCGCGGGAGCACTCGGCGCGGAGGAAGCGCGCCAGCTCCGGGTCCGGGCGGCGGAGGACGCCCGCGACCGCCTCGCGCACCGACGGGTCGGCCACGCGCGGGGTCAGCGACCCGCGCTCGATGTCGTCGGCGAGCTGCTCCCAGTGGAGCTGCAGGAAGCGGATGGCGCGGAGCAGGCCCGACGCGAAGACGGCGCCCACGCGGAGCACGTCGTGGCGCTGGCACAGACCGCACACCATCTGCGCGTACATGCTCTGGAACGCGTCGGCGCACAGGATGGCCGCCGTGGGGCTCGTGTAGTCATGGTACGGGTCGAACGGACGGTTCTTGAAGTGCTCGCTCTTGTAGTAGCTCGTCAGCACGGGACGCGCCGTGAGGCCGCCGGGCGTCGTCGTCTCCGACTTGACGAACAGGAAGTAGAGCGCCTTGCCCTTGTCCAGCCCCGGCACGTACCTGTCAGTCATCAGGTTGCAATTGCAATCGATCGATCAGTACACGCCAATTATGATGCCACGCTTTTTCCCATGATCCGTAGCTATCTATGACTTGTCTTTGTTTGCCAGATCAGTAGTAGGAGTATAAACTACAGTGTCCTGCAATAATTATTAGTAGTACCTACTGATGAGTAAACTTACTGGTTCATGACGGGCATGAGGAGGCTGTACAGCAGCTGGCGCCGGTCGAGTTCTTCCTTGATGGTCGGCATCAGCTTGCGCTCGCCGGCCGAAGTCCCAGAGCTGGTGAGGAACTCGGAGATGGGGTGCGCGGAGAGGATGGGCGAGCGGTCGCCGTTGGCGATGCGCTGGATGTCCGGCTGCAGGTCCTCGTACGTGACGACGGGCACCCTGGCGCGGAAGGCGTCGCGGTCGGTGGCGCCCGCGAGGCCGCAGCGGGCGAGGTACTCGGTGCCGGCGTTCCGGGCGAGGATCTCGGCCAGGACGCGCGCCTGCACGGCGTCCACGTCGGAGGTCATCTCCTCGATGAACCTCAGCTTCTCGGCGCTGCCCGCCGCGGCGGCCGGCGGGGCCCCGGCCGGCGCACGCAGCGCCGTGGCCGCGGGCATGTCGGTCATCACCGCCATCTATGCGAAGCAAATGGGAAGGATCCCGATCGATCGAGCCCACCGTACCAGGAGAAGGAAGGCGAAAATTAAAGAGCAGAGAACGAAGCGGGGTCGATGGAACAGGAGCAGAGGAGGAGTTGGTTGAGCCGATCGAGCGCCGGAAATCGATGGCGTGGCGATGCAGCGGTGGTGGAGTGTAGGACTAGCTAGGAGGAGGGAGATCAGGAGTAGTCGTGTGATGGATGCCCTGATGATGGATGGGTTGGGAGCGGCGGCGGAGGGCGGTTTATATAGTTGGGCGGGAGCCGGAGGGCACGACGGTGACGGCGAGGTGTGTCGGGTCCGTGGGCGGCAGGGTGGGGACCCGTGTCGCGTCGGGAGGTACCTGGTCGGCAGTGCTGGCTGTGTACTCTACTACTATACTCTCTACTAGAGTAGTAGTACCTGTGTACTAGCAGTAGTGATCGGCATTCCAGAAGAGCAGATTCTCGTGCGCAAGAGAAACGCAAGATTTTGCTTGCTGCGAATGGTGTTCGTGTTCGTGTTCGTGTTGCTTTCGTACTAGCTGCGCAACACGTAGTACTGTGCTGCTCTGACACACACGCAACGAGCTATCACCATACCACGCATCTGTACTCACTCTCAGAAAAGAATCATGGTAAGTATTTTAGGGCCGTCTGCTAGGGCTCTCGCTAAAAAAAAAACGGCTCTAGTTTCTTCGAACGGGAGCTATTGCTGTTTTGGTAAGGCGATAGATAAAATAGCTTCTCCTGGTAGATAAGGAGAGTGAAATGTCTATAATGCTCTTCTATTTTTTTCTCTTTTTCCTTATTTCTTTTTTTCTTTCTTATCTCCACCGCATGGGTTTCTTGACTTTTATAATCTTCTCTCTGTTATTTATTTCCCATCAGGCACCGGCACACCATCTTCTCTCTCGTTATCCTCGCCCAGCGCCCCCGGAGGAGGCTCGCAGCCGCGCTCAGGCCGCCGTCGCGGCCCGCCTCGCGGTTGCCTCGCGGTCGATGCCGGTCCTGCGACCCACCTCGTCGTCGCAGTCGTGGCCGCGGTTCGCCTCACCGTCGCTGCTATGCCCGCGTTTCCCTCGCCGTCGCGGCCCGCGCCTGCGCTCCGCCTCGCCGCCCGACGCCATCAACACGGAGGGGCATTTCGGGACTAGCCCCACAAGGACGAAGGCTGGAGCAGGCGAAGCTAGTTTTTTGGGCTCCATCTTCTCCGAATGGCTCCAGTCAGCGCGATTTGCGGGGATCCAGGCGTGAAGCCGTTTGCCCAGTCGCCGTTTGGTTGTCACATGAAAAAAACAGCTCCCGGAGCCATACCAAACGCCCCCTTAGATAGTGCTGACTGCTGGTGAGTGCATGGTGGTGCAATGCAACCACTGCTGGAAAGATAAAGGCGCCCGGCCGGTCGGCGCGGGGCGAGAAGCAGCTAGCTAGCAGGTCGCCGGCCGGACACGGGGCAGAAGCTAGGTCGACAAAGCACTGGCTACTGGCGTGGCGCGCGGCGATCGAGCGTACGCCGGCCGCCTGAAGTCCTGAACCCCTGTCGCTTGCTCGATCGCTGGAATAAATTTCGGTCCGAACGAACACAACAAATCCTTGCTTGGCGCGCGTCGTCGTGCGCTGCGAAGTGCGAACCGAGGCCGCCGGCCAGTGGGACTGTCTGTGGGGATTGTCCACTGCCCACTGCCCACTGCCGCGCGCCTTTGTTTTTTTTTCCTGTTTTGCGTTTCTTTTCGGCGATGGGCTTTAATTTGCCCGGCCGTATTTAGCGCCACAAAGCAGGCAACGGATGGCAGATCTGCTCCTCTATCCTTTACATGATGAGATTCAGCTCGGAACGCACCGCCACCGAGACAGTGCCATGCACGCATGTGCCCCCATGTTGCGGCTTATCATGCACGGGCGGCGGCACGGCACGGTACGCCGGAGCTGGACGGACGGCACGGAACCGATAGCTAGAATGGCAGATATTCCCTTCCCCCTGGTGCCTGCCTTCTCTGACGACGATACATCGATGCGCATACTCCTATGTTAATTGCCCGGCCGGTCAGCTGACGACCTCATCAGACGTACGGTGAACGGACGGACGAAAGAGAATTATATAATCCGACGAGTCAAATAATGCATCGCATTCGCATGCATGTAAGATGAAGGTCCATCCAGGATCCAGATCCAGTGTGTGGAGCGAGCTAGCTACTGCAAGCCAACTGGGATCCCTCGGAATTTGCTTGCTGGGCTGTCTCTGGCTCGATCGCCAGAGATTCGTTCGATGACAGTCCGGGAATCATCAGAGAGAACCGGAGGAAGCAGGAATGAAGCTTCGAATCACCGCCGGCCCGCCTTGTATATTCCAACATGCACGAGGTGGTTTTCAACCGCTGGCCCTTGGACGGCTACGACTAGTTTTCTCTTACGATGCTTGCTCGCTACACGCACCGGCGGCTCCAGCGTTGCGGCAGGTGGTGGACTGGTCGTGGTGGGCGGGTGGACGAACGGCCGCCGCGCGGGATCGGAGACGGGATCCTGCACGTTGCACGCACGGACAGCTCCGATCGATCCGGTGCGCCGGCCGCGCGCACCGCCCCACGCGCGGCCACCAGCGGCACCCACAAGCATTGAATGGAGGCCGGCCGGCCGGCCCGGCCGCTGCGTGGCCTGCGCCTGCATGCACGCATCGTGCTGGTGTTTGTTCCATCGTCAGCTCCAGTTCATGAATGACGCTGCCTCGCTCATCGTCAGTTTATATGTACACTGAACAGCAGTTTGGGTGCATGGTGGCATGCATGCACTATAAATGGTGACCAGACGTTGCTACAAGCTACTCCTGCTGCATATCTGTGATCCCGTCCCCGGCCGGCCGGTTCATGAATGTGATGCACAGATGGATAGGTGCGTGGACGGCCCCTTCAACTGCATACCTGTCGACTCCATGGCCTGCTGCTTGCAGTTTGCCCTCACATTGATTAGCTGCAGGTGAGTTTAATTCCGTTGTGCCAATCTTTAACGAGAATATTTTCTGTCAATTATATTATTATCTCTCTGATTTGTCCTTTCCCGATCTTATCTGAATGGCAAAAACAATATGAATCAGACAAATGGAAGTTAACTACAGTGCACATTGTTTAGTAGATGTTGCTTGTGTATGAGAAACTGCAAAAACAAAGTCTCAAATATCATAGCTTCATATTAGATTCCGACTGAAATTGGCTCCCTAAATCTATAAGATGAATTAGACGGACCATGGCCGGAGCTATATATGCAAGCATAGCTGTCCACGACCTGTAAATATGCTTAATTTTTTTTTGTGAGTTTTCTCGCAAATTTTGTTAAAAATAAACATATTTGCTGAATCACGAACAAACCCGCTTGTATCCCTTGCTACTCAACCCCTCTCCTCCCGCCCCCATTGGAATATGGAAGGGTGAGCAACCCTGGGGTAGCACCCACCTAGACAGGCAAGTGATGTCTAGCAACGTCCGCACCTTGGGCTAGCTTCAGTGGTCAAAGATGATAAGGAAAAACAGTTAGCGCGGATAATGCAACTTTTATTTTATAATTGATATATACAAGAAGCTTTTATTTTTATTTATTCTATTGACAGAAAGTTTTTCGTCCTCTCTACGGACTAGCACAAGTCGACAAGCGAGCCAAAACATGGGGAAGTATGCATGGTATATGGCTCAGGTTATTAGGATCATGCTATAAAATGAAGCATGCTTACTTTTCTATAAATAAATAAATGCATTAAGGCTCGAGATTGGATCATCAGATCTTTATTAGGATGTTGCTGCGGAACCCTCATTTCAGCTGTGGAAATTAAGGTAAGCGTGACACAATTTTCTAATTAAATATTAAATCGAATGAAAATTTTATTATGGTTGAGCAAATATAGATAATTGACAAAGGGAGATCCAACGGTAAAAAGTTAAGAAGTACTCCATCTATCCATAAAAGAATGTAATTCTAGAACAGTACCAGATTAAAATATATTGAATTTAACTAACTATAAATAAAAAAAATTAATACTTATAATATCAAATAAATATACTATTAGATTTGTGATTTGCCATGAGATATATGTTCATACTATATATACTTATTTGATGTCATAAATATTAATATTTTTACCTATATATTTAGTCAAAATTTAGATATGTTAACTAAGAATGCATCTAAAATTGTATTTTTTTTTTGTGGACAGAGGTAATCAAAAGAAAAACTATCACCAATGGAACTTTCGTATACTAAAAAATCATAGATTAGGTTTCTTGTGGTACAACATATTCATCTGGATTCGAGTTTCTGACTCATCATGTGTGCTTATATGTTCATATAACTATTAGTGATAGGTGACTTGTTCATCAATGGTGGGATGTTTATAAATGATAACTTTGTCGATCTTAAGATCCGTAAAAAATATCTTTATACATATAAATGCTCATATAGCGCGCGGTACACAGTCCGCAACATGTATCCAGTTTCCAGTGTCGCATTTGAAGTGTTTTGAACGTAAGAGAGTCGGCGAGATTTTTTTCGTGATCGATATATATGATCCCAATATCCAGATGCATATATGAGTCATGTTCGCTTGTCTTATAATTCGTACTTTTTTATTTGTTTTTTAGTCGAAACAGTATTTTTTTCTCATAATAAATTAGTCGAAATCGTGTTCCCGGTTTTACGGGAACGGGCCATGATTGGTGCAGTCCGACAGCTAGCGGATGGCAGGAAGGCAGCAGCAACCACTGAGCGGGCAGCAGGCCAGTGCCCACACTAGGGAGGGCCACGACGGTAGCCGCGCGCGGCCAGACATTGGACTGGCGCCGGCGGTCTGTCTGCTCATCGGCCGTGTTCGGCTGGCTTAAAGCCAGCCGGCTGGGCGTGTTCGGCTGGCTTAAAGCCAGCCGGCTGGTTTGTTTCGTCACTCACGAAATCACTGTTTATATTGTGTCAGAACAGTATTTTTCTCTCACAAGCTGA